CCCCTTGGCAGGCAGTGCCACCGGGCCGCCTTCACAGAACTACACTTTTGGACCAGGTGGGCCTTTCCGACTTTGAGGACAGTGTTTCAGCCAATGACAAGCCCTTAATAGGAAGGGTTTTCTGTAAACCAGGTATCCACAGTAAATAAGGCTTATTTAGCTCCTGTAAATAATGACATTTTTGTGTTTATTCTCCCTAAACACCTCCATGCTCCCTCACCCAGTTCAGAAGAAACTCTTTCTCTAAAATTCCATTGAACCTGCTAGAGCTCAGGAACCAGGATGCAGACACTATATGATAACATGTAATTTTACTTCCATTTTTTGAATTAGTATTTAGTTTTATTTTAATTTTAAATTCAGTCTGTTTGAAACACCATAGGCTGCGTTCAACATTGATTATTTAGAGGAGGAACATCTGGTAGCTAGTTGCCCATAAGAAGGAATTTCAACAGAAAAATTAAGAATAGAAACCACAAATTTGTTGGTTTAATTTCAGTTTAGTTTTCCTGTTTAATCCAGTTTCATTTTCTTTATTCCATAATATTAATAATCTTGGTATAATATGATATATGAAGAATTTCCCTTATGTCAGAATCTTAAATGCTTCTTGTTCCAGGCCAGGAACTGAGCAGATGACTGAACAACAGACTCACACACAGTTTCAAAGAGAGGTTTTATGGTCATGTGTTTCAAATGAACACGGTGAAATTCTAATTCTACAATTGCAGGGTAGGGCATCACGGGACAGGATAGGACAAACAATTGTGCAATGCAGGACAAGACAAGATAAAACAGTCCCATTTAGGAATGAGCAACAAAATAAGCAATAAATATATGCAGTATGTGGTGAATGGAGTACAGTGCAGAACAATTCATAAGCATAACGTACAGATAAAGTACCACTGTAAAGCAAGGAACTGCAGGTAAAGCAGTGAAATGACTGTGTGCGTGCCAACATTACCTACCATGGACTGGCGTCTTCTAGTGGAAAAGGGTAAATCTAAAAGTATGGACTAGGATTTATTGATTTTACATTTATTCATGTAAAGACTACGTATTTCTCTTGGATAATCTAATTTGCCGTTTCAAATATTACGTCTTGCCACTTCTTCCCATGAAAATACTTGTACAGTAATTGTCACTAGTTGCATTACATGTCAATTATTCGTCAGACATGCGCATGCATGGATCCACGTATAGAAATAGTCTATATGTTGTGCCCGTGTGCAGGGACGAGCGAGCAGTGAGTGGGGAATCAGGATCGAGCGTACGGGAATCCAGGAAACGGGGTTCATTAAGACAAAACGACAAGGCAAGGTACACACGGTAGACAACGTCAATGACCGGACTGAGGAAACAGACTTGAACGCGGACTAAATACACAGGACGACTCGGAAATAACACGAAACAGCTGAATACAATCAGAAATTGACACGATGTAACGAGGGGGCGTGGCACACGGAAGGATCGTAAGAGCCGGGCGTGACACTGGAGTCACGTGAATGTCATACACAGCACCGCGTAATAGACATCTCCTATTATACATGCCATACGCACGTTGATGTTGTGGGGCGATGCGCGTTTGCCCCCGGCGGAAACAGTCACAGTGCCTTGTGCGCTGCAAGTCGGTTCTTTCCTTCTAACTTCAGATCTGGCCATTTCTTTTTTTTATTTTACGTTTTGTGTGTTCTGTAGAGTGGAATTACCTGCAGGTTCGGCCTTATTAACATTGCAAAAAGCACAAGCAGTCAGACAACAAAATCCAGTTTGGCATCTATTCCGAAAGTGCAAGATAAAAGTGCAAGAAAGTGCCAGAAACAACTGTACAAAATACACGTTTCATAAAACATTCTGTTCCTCTTCTTCTTATTTATTTTTTTATTTTTTATTTGCTGTCGCTATTGTCGGACTTTATAACGACACTTGATTTGCATAATACAGTAAAATCCACTTATAACGGACTTAAAGAGACCTGGCAAAACAGTCCGTTATATCCAGAGTTGCTGTATGCCCAGAACACAACTACAGGACACCATTTACTCATGCCACACCCCAGCAGACACACTTGTTGTATAGATTATTATATTGTACCTGTAGTAATCCAACTTTACCGGACCAGATGCGTGACTAACGTACACTAACGTAAACGTACATTTACAGAATAATTTGTATTTATCAAATTGTTTACATATGTGCATATGCCAAGTTTGATAAATCTGAATTTTTTTGTGTATACAGTTTTTTCTTTTCATGTAGTTTACACCAAGGTTTCTCAACCCAGTCCTCGGGGACGAGCAGACAGTCCACGTTTTTGCTCTCTCGCAATTGGCAGGGAATTGGGAGAGAGCAAAAACGTGGACCGTCTGGTGGTCCCCGAGGACCGGGTTGAGAAACCCTGGTTTACACTACGTTTGACAAATGAGGCCTGAGGTGTCTACGGTAAACAAGGCTTATTTACCTTGTGTATGTTATGGCATTTCTGTGCTCATCCTGCCTATTTGCCTCCATGCTCTCCTGCCCATTTCAGATCTTTCTCTAAAATGCTGTTGAACCTGTTAGTGGTCATGAACCAGGATGCAGATCCTCGTATGATATGATACATAAAGAATTTCCTTTATTCCAAAGTCTTTTGCACTTCCTGTTCCAGGCCAGGGACTGAGCAAGGCGGCCATCCTGGGCCTTGCTATCGGAATCCCCTGCGGTTTCCTCCTCCTCCTCATCATCATCGCGCTCATCATCCTCTGTGTCGTCTGCTGCAGGCGGAGACGTGAGACCTTTTTTAACATAATGCTTTGGCCTCCTCTTCTTGTTACTCATAGTGAGAGCTGTTCGTTCTTTGTTTTGTAGGCCGACGGCAAACGTATCCTCCCCCCAGGGCTTCTCAGAAGGTAATCTGTACTCCTTTCCTGTTAAACTGATAAATTAGAACATTAAATGCTTTATTTTTCTTGCTTCACATTTGGCCACAATGGTTACTGTACTATTACTGCCTGAGTGATGATGGTATTTATTCAAAAGCAGATCAGCCTTTCATTGCAAGTCATACATTTTATTACATTAAACTTTTTTCCAGTAATGTAGCTTTGGTTTGTTATGCTAATTATTTTAACGTTATTTGATTTTCTCTCTTTGATTTGTTTTCCTTTAAACTCCGCATGACTCCTGTGCCTTTTTATTAATGGGTTCATGTGTGTTATAAGGATGATATAGAACAGAGGCACGGCTCAATGAAAAGGCTGCGTCTGAGTAAATGTCACTGGAGTCACTCAACGTCGCCCCCTAATGGTGCTGATTAGTCTGTTCAGCCGATAACGCAGGATCACTAACGAGAAATGCTGTGATCACACAGGTAGCGACAGGCCAAACCAATCTGAACACCCTGCACAATCAGGTCACTGGAGGGATTCAAAATGGGTCTCCTGTCAAAAACCCCAAGGTATTTCTGGGTGGAAATGCCCCTTTTTCTTGCCCTTGTTGGACGCCTCCCTGTGGGTGGTACAGCTCTCACTCCTGTGCTAACCATTCTCCTTTCTCTCCTAGGGAATCCCCGAGCGACAATTCCCCCACCCCTCCACAGGGACAATTCCCCCACCCCTCCCCTCGCTTTCCCCTATGCGGTTGGCCACAACTGTTTAAAGAAGGAACATGTACTATCTTGCACAGAATTAATGTTTTTATATTGACAGAGATGTACATCTAGTATTATGGTGTTGTTCTTTCTATTGTAATTATTACTATTCCTGCATTTTAAAAATAAACCTTATTTAAAAGTCTTATTTCATTTGTTTAAAAAAACCTCAGGAAAACATCCAACCTATCTCCCAGTATCAGAGTTCCCTTCCTGATTGGGTGCAAATTTATACTTCCAACATGTCATCCTTTCCAGAACACCTAAAACTGCTTTAATGTGACACTTGGACAGTGGCATGGAATACATTTAACTTAAACTACTTAATCCTTAATTGAATAAATTAGGGACACAACTATAATGTTTTTTTCCAGACCTGGTGTGAGTACTGATGCTTGCTTCCTAAGTGCTCCTTCATCCCATTACCAGTTAGTGCTGGGAAATGTCTAAAAATAAAATATGCAGTGTTTTCATTTGAAAACATCATACTAAACATTAACATTGTAACTGCCCCCCTCGGGCAGCCTGGGTACTTAATATTCTGCTGGGCAATATCAACGGTACATTGACTTATTATCTTATACAATTAAAACAATAAGAAAGTGAAAAACTTCAAATAAATAACATTAAAAAATAACATTGCTCAGTACCATGCATCAGCCTATCAGCTTCCAGTCAACCACAGGATGGTCTTTTAAGGACTGACAATTTTATGTCTAACAATCACATTGCAGGGTTGATTGAGGTAGTGGAGTATAACATACACTACTGTTGTGGTAATACAGGTGTGTGTGTGTGTGTGTGTGAATGGTGTGTGTGTGTGTGTGTGCCCTGTGACAGGTTGGAGCCCTGTCCTGGGTTATTCCCTGCTTAGAACTCATCACTTCCAGGATAGGCACTGGACTCATTTGACCCTGCATAGGACAAGCGGGTATAGAAAATGGATGGATGGACGGATGGATGGAAGGATGGATAGAAGGATGGATGGAAGGATGGATAGATGAACATGAGTCATGTGGAGACAGTGTCAGTGAAGAAAGCAGCAACTCCGAATCTACAACATCATTTTAAAAAGGAGGTATTGGTGATAAACCATCTACATCAGGAGCCAGTGGGGCCTGACCACAGCAGATGTTGGGTGGCGCAGTGCACAACATGATCAATAAGTCAGTGTAACAATAATATATGTATTTTTTCTTTGTGAATAACATGATTTGCCCTGAGTTCCTGAAGGCTCTTGATGCTGTTGGGCTGTCTTGGCTGCCATGCCTCTTCAACACTGCATGGAGGTTGGAGACAGTGTCTTTGGATTCACATACTGGGGTGGTGGTGCTTATTTTTAAGAGAGGGGACCAGAGGATGTGTTGCAACTTCAGGAGCATCGCACTTGTCAGGCTCCCTGAGAAAACCTACACCAGGGTACTGGAGAGGAGGTTCCATCCATTGGTCAAACCTCGGATCCAGGAGCAGAAATGCAGATTCTATCCTGGCCATGGAACACTGGATCAACTCTTTACCCTCACAAGGATACTGGAGAGTTCATGGGAGTTTGCCCAACCAGTCTACTTGTATTTTGTGGACTGGGAAAAGGGATACGACCATGCAGGTTGGCTGAGGTGGTTTGGGCATCTGTCTAGGATGCCTCCGGGATGCCTTCTTGGGGAGGTGCGCTGGACATGTCCAACTGGGAGGAGACCCAGGACAAGCTGAAGAGATTATATTCCTCGACTGGTCTGAGAACACCTTGGTTTTCCCCCAGAGGTGGTGGCTGAGGAGAGGGAGCCCTGGCCATCTCCACTTAGACTGCCACTGCAGTGGAAAATGGACAATGGATGGATGGATGGATGGATGGACTTCACCCATTTTCATTACAGAAAACAAGAG